GTGTAGTTTTTTTATTTTGCTTTGCTTTGTTTGGATTGGCGATTGTCATAGTATCTAGATCATACTTAATACTTTGGGTTTGGCTAATTTCATAGCAGGAAGCGTCTAAATTTAAGGTTATTAATTTCCTACTTTGATCGTACCTAATATTTGTAGCATCGCTTCGAGGCATTCCGGACTCATTTGTAAAATTTGGAACGTTTTGGCTTTGGATTTTTCTTGAATAAATATCAAATTACTACTGCGGTGGTCTTGTGGAGATAGGCCTGACAAGCTTATTTTGTAAATAGTTTTCAATGTTATTTGTATTCATTTTGTCAACCTTCCACTGTATGTATATTTAACATTAAATGACTGTAACTGTTGTTTTAGTAAATGACCTTGAACACACTTTCCGTTGTGATTCTGACATAGCGTGACATACCGTTGCTGGCTAGCAAATACACTGCTTCTCACACATTCCTCGTTCTATTTTCATTCGTGATTGAGTTAACTGAGATCTAAAACAAATATTATTTACATTCATAGACTGTGAGTGCGAATACCCATACCTTGCTTTGGATTACACCACTGGAGAGTTCGTCGACACGTTTGGAAATTACCCAGTATTTATAATTGTGGATTTATTATACCAGACTAAAGCTGAACACGCATCATTTTGGGCGAACTTAAGTAAAGTCCCATTTTTATTGTATTTGTAACATTTAACTGGTATATATTAATATTGCTATTGACTTTTATTAACTTTGTTGATACTTTTTGCGTTTATATATCTTCTGGTCCACCACAGTCTAAACAACAGTTCATCAATGTACTTAGCATAGATATCTCCAGGATTACTTAGCTGTCTAGGTTCTTAACTGGATGTGCCGAAAAACTAAAATGGAATTAACAGCTTTCCAGGTTGGATATCTTATTGTAATGTCTGGTACTATGTCAAGTTCACATGGATTATCCTAGCTTCTAAACAGATCAGCTAATTTATTCTTCCTGAATCACATTTTGATCTTATCAATTGGTCTTTTGCACCATTGACTGTTTTTATGTGATTGTATGTGTGTGTTGCCTACCCTGTTCATAGTATATCTTCAACTTATTTTTGTCTGACCATAAATATTCAGTCATGCTCACTCACCTTTTCTTTTTCCTTTCCTGCTTTTCCTTCTGAATGTCTATCTGGAGAACCAAGTGCTTGAAATAAATTTATCCAACACAACCCGTATCTGGATTCCTGTTACCACCGTCACACAATCGGGGTTAGACCTAGGTGATATGCATAGTTCAGTCGAAGATTTATGGTCATAGCATATTCATACGTTCACTTGAATTGAAATCAGACGAAAAGGCCACAAAAATACTGTAGAATATTTATTGAAGTAGTTTCAGTGATTAAGAACCTTCCATGTGTGAAATATGAAGTGGTGAAAAATTCCCATCATATTAAAACACAAATATATCAACGAAGAATATTTTTCAATGATTTATATTAAGGTTCTAAATTATATATCTAATTTAGCAATCCAAAAAAAACAGGCCAGCTTCAAGACAAAGTGCATCACTTAAACTTATAGCATATATGAATTAAGGGTTGTCTGTAATGTAAAAAGACTTTCAGTCTTGCGCTTGAACTCTTAATCTTTAGACCACTGAACCAGTATCAAACGGTGTTAATGTCTAACTTTAACCAATCCACGATATTGCGCGACCATCTTCTATTGTCTTCGGTGGGACGACATGAACTGGGAGGAAGGAACGAGAATAGTGACAAATCTTCAAACTTATGTGTATTCAATAAAATGGTTATAGACGGCATAATACTCCACCACAAACGCATGCACAAAACTACTCGGGTTTCACCGGATCACACTAAAGAGAATCAAATCAGTCATATTTGCATCAGTAAAAATTCAGAAGGTCAGTAGAAGATGTGAGAACCAGGAACGGAGCAACCGCAAAAAGCTGGGAAGGATTGTCCAGGATGGAGTTCGATGTAGAATGCTGATGGGGGGCCTATGCTCCTCCACGAGGGGTCACAGGCGTAGGTAAGTAATGAATGTAATTACCGTGTGTTTTTATATCATAGGGTTTGTACAGAATTTTTGATTGTTTTTTCATGAATTATCGAATTGTTTGATGCTTAACTTACAGAGTTGCTCTCTTAGTTTGATAAATAAATATTTTTGGACCTTGTAGAATTTTGTCCTACTTCACCTGACTTGGATTTTGATCATACTATTTCTTTGAAAGCTTAATGTCATTCGTTTAGGCATTCTGTCTGATTCGGATCTACAATATTTACTCAACCGTAGTGTTCTAATTGTATCTATGTGAAAGAACGAGTGTCTGACGCTTAACTATAGGAAACACATGATGCATACTATAGCAGCATAGATAGACTAATTGACCTGACTCTGAATACCTACCGTTCGCGGCTGCTTCTGTTATGTTCTCTACTCGATTAACGCAGAATACGGTATACAACTGCGGTACTCAGACGTATAGAACCCCACTGTCGCAAAACCAGAAGACAAAAGAAAGATGGAGAAATGTTTGTCAGGTAAGAATCAAAATCTACAGGAAATCATGGCTATTTATGAATATTAGTATTTGTTATATCAACATTATAATTCAGACAATCCGCACAGAGGCAAGTTATACCGCTGTCCAATTGTAACGTGACACGTTGATATTCTAGAAAGCTCCATTAGGTCCTGATTGGGTGGAAACTCTTTGGCTCCTTTAGGACCTCTGAAGGCTCCATCGTAGTCCTCGGAAGCAATCCGAACAGCTCCATAACACCTAATGTCTTAAAGTCTGCACACTGATATTTATAGTCGAGCGAAAATAAGTTACAGATATGTGATTAGTAGAATAAGAAATTAACACAAATATGCTTACATAAAAGCAGCCAAGGCTGATGAGCAAATAATCGACAAAGTCAAAATGCAGCTTGAGATGAATGAGTAGACTGATCCGTCCAGAGTCTGGAATAACGTATGTGGGCTTGACACGGTAGCAGCCCCAGCAAATTGAACTGGCCGTCGTTTCACTTTTCTCTTGTCCCTTCCTCTCCCAGATTCTTTCATGCACTGCTTTCCGAGCTTCTCCAGCTCACAAAATACTTTGAAGCTAGAAGCAAACCTAGCAAAGACTGAACGTTACATACTTAGTGCAAATGTGTCCAGAAACTTATCATTCAGGAAACATTTATCCAAACAGTCCACGTTAAGGAGCAAAATGAGTATTTACTCTTATTCACGTTTTGTTTCCCTTTGTTCCTTTCAAGTTCGCTCTTATATCTCTCCTCTTATTTGCTTCGGACATAGACGATAATCGTTCAGTATTGCTAAGCATGACTGTTATGCGTTCCTGATTCACCTCCGTGTATTCTTGGATAGATATATCCAGCTCGCGCGATGACTTGTTTTAATAAACGTCAACTCCTGGACGGGTAATTTCCGTGTGTTGCTCTCATTGCTCGTTATCAACCCACCCATTCTTTCATCAACTGCTGCTTAGACACTAGCTTGTTTTGACTCGTACGGTTGGCGAATTACTGTAAACTGTTTTTGTTCCTGCTGAAGTAACATCTAGGCTAGTTAAATTTATATTTGTCACGATATCAAGTCCAATCATATCTATACTCCCTACCCCAAGTAGCGAGTAGTTGCGTTGTTATTAAGCCCAACCACAGAACCGCTTGGCAGACTGCAGGGATGGCTCCCGGTGAACTCAAGGAGGCTAGATAAAGTTTAACTATACATGGAGTCTGATTATTATGAAACGATGCTAATTCTGAGAGCAAAAACCTGGAAGTATAAGTTTTGTTTTTTCAAAGTTTCGCTCTCGAGGCCTAAAAATTGGAAAACGATATATTTGGGTTGATTACTTGAAATTTATGGGTAAATTCTGGTACATGAATTTGACTTTGGTTCCATTGTTATCTGGGGTCGTCAATTACGAGTTGATAGACCGACCGTACTTCATTAACAGATGCGAGCAAAACTTGGGTATAGCTGTTTACGTCGAAGTCATAACACACGATTATCACCTAATGACGATTACTTTTTCGTAGAATCCAGGTACTATGGTTAGATTGTAGGCTTTACAACACAAACAACGTTATTACGAAAATATATTATTAAAGGTAAGTAAAAAGAGTAGAGTTTGATTAGTGCCACTTGGGCCAGTTCGTGGCGTAAATTTGTTGATGAGCATTGGTTGACGCTGAACTTGACAAGGATAGGTGAACTGTTTGATATTTAGTGACTCGATTGTCAGATGATTTGGTTAAAGCCGTGACATTTCACTTGCTGTACAATTTGTTATTCAGTTCTTAATGCACAATTATGAAGCCTGACGTGTAACGGTAAGTAAATCCTCAAAATAAATATTTCTATAAATTTACGACACTGATGATGACCTCATTCGTTTTACCGAACACATTGTATCTGAAGGCGTCTGGCCACGCACGTGCAGCAGATTACAAGTGGGTACTCTGTGTTACACATATCCCGCAACAACTGGCCACGATAGGTTACACACTTCCGACTTATCAACTTCACTTCAAACATATTTTTGAACTCTCTCATTTCTAACTAATGGTTTGACTGGATTTAGTTCATTTGATCACAGAAGTGATACTGACAACAGCGTTGACAGTTCCGAAATACACATAACATCTTTAAACATGTAGTGAATAGTGTCAGGCTATTTGCTGAGGCATCTTAAGACTCGTAATGATTGTGAAAAATCTTAAATATTTGCCTTCATCCGAGGTAGGCAGAGTGTAAAGGAAGTTGCATGTTGAGAAACATAACTTTCATTATCTTTCCTTTCTTAACTAATCACTATAAATACCCAGTTGAGAATAAAAATTTAGATTCATGTTTTTACCACATATTTAAATCATAGAAAGAATGATACCAATGAAGAAGATAACATCTGGCTAACAAAATGAGATAGAAAATATTTGTTTTATTGGCCTACTTTAGATGCTCACAATTCAGTTTGTGTAGGTCATTCTGCGTACAATTTGGGATGTCTGACGTACCTGGGATTGATATCACGCTTCATGGGCAGGATCATTTATTGACTTTCTGGAATGAGCTCAATGCTAAGGAGCAATCTGAAATCCTCAATGACATTTCGAAGATCAATTTCTCTGCTCTCGGCCGAATTTTTGATGTAAGACTTTTGTAGTTGTATCAACAATTCGAAAATGTGAATGAGTCGTTATTTTGCAACCAAAAGATTGTATCTTATCAGCGTCTTCACCAAACAGGACTATGTGATCAGCTTATTCCAAGTCAGTAAGCGGATACACTGAGTAGGAGATCAATCCCGGAAAATTCGGTCGACGAGAAGGTTATTTCTTTTTTCTAGGATGACTTACGCTACAATTAATTCTTGCAGATATGTTATAACAATGGTGTGATTGTTCCAAACCACGGCTCTTTAGTTGGCCCGTACTGTACTCCCAAGTTATAATTTTTACACAAATTTCTCAACATTGTTTAGGATCTTCATGGGAGACTTTACTGTTATCTTTAATGAAAAAAGTATTTTAAGTCGTAGTTATCCTCAGTTTGTTATAATTCGGCTTATTTAAAAGCTACTAATGTTCGAAACTCGTCAGAAATCTCCACTCATGTGGTTTCAGCATTAATTACCATTTAGTAGTTCACATCATCTTTTTAAAACGGATGTCTTTAAAGCTACTCACTTTCTGCTTACTAGATCGTCTAATATAATATATAACGGCATACATATACGTGGTTAGACACGGGTTTTTGGTTTATCGAATAACATTCTGCCACTAGCTAGACCTAACACCTTTTGGTCTGTTGAGTAGTACCTTAATTTTGAATCGTGACGTTACTCGAAAAATAGTCTAAACAAACTCTAGAAAGTTGATAAATATAGAAGCTTTTTCTTTATCCCGTCTTCTTACCATCAGTAGCCTGTCCTGTACTGCTTTGTCAGATCTAAATTTTAAGTATCGTTCTGAAGTGTTATCAGTATTCCAATTACTTATTTGGTAAGTGACTACTGACGTATTATCCGTTGTTTTACGGAGAGATATACAGTTTTCCATCTGTTTGTTTTTGTTTCCTTCCATGAGTCATATCTTTTTGACTGTCATTGTGCTGCGTTACAGCTTAACTCCCCTTAATCAATGATTTTCAGTAAAAACTCGAAGAGAATGTCAAATGAACTACGCACTTTTTGTAGGATGCTTTGCGTGTAAAAAAACATGGTTTTACATTAAAAAGCCCGTTTTTAACAAGGATAATCATTATTTTTATAATAGACTCCTCCAAACTGCTCTTCCGGAATTGATGACAGGCTCTTGCCACCTAATCCAGAGATATGTAAATCTCTGTCGGAGTTGCGCACTTCGCAACCTCTCTTACTGGAACGCTATCTCAGTATTGGTAAGCTACCGTTTCGTTATTCAAGGTGATATTTCAAGCTTTGCGGGCAGTCAGTGAAAATAAAGTGGCGGTTCTATTGTTAGCGGGTGGTCAAGGGACACGGCTTGGTGTTTCCTATCCCAAAGGGTTGTACAAGCCGAATTTACCATCAGGTCGTTCATTATATCAACTTCAAGCCGAGCGTCTTCACCGTGTTTCTCATATGTGTAAAGAAAAGTTTGGTAAAACTCCTTCGATAACTTGGTGAGTAACAAATTTTGCTAAACTTAACGGCTATCTGTTGTTCAAACATATATCTAGACGTATTGCAATAGAAATTTTTTATTGGGAAACCCAGTATTAACACTGCAATCTGATTGATATGATTGTGGGCTGAGAGAATCTGGTCTCCCTTTCAAAATCCTCTCATATGGTTGCACATTTTCAGCGTCCTCTAGGGAAGGCCTACTACCTTCACATGGTGGTAGTGCTTCTATAATAGTGAGAGTGAAGCTGGACATCTGGGACCCAGACTGGGTCAATAGATACCGAGGGTTCACCTAGAGCAGTTCATAACCTCGCTTCGAAACCACTAGTGCGCGTTTGTCAAAGAATCCTAAAGGTACAAGGAGGGTACAAACGTCCTTCGGCTGAGGTTATCGGGGATTTGGACTTCTTGACATTGATCTACTGCTTCGCTAATTACACATCTAAGTCGAATGGTGATCCAAAAAAAACTAAGTGCTCTATTTTTGGCACCCAAAGAACACTACTGTCCTCACACGTGTAATCGTTACCAACAAGAAAAGTAAAATAACGAACCACTCAGCTGATGTACTAGGCCCCAGAAATAATAAAAATCTATGTTCTACTTGATTTCTTCATTATAAGCCTCAAATGTGTCATTTCGCAACCAGCTATCGATGAAGTGGATCTGTACAAGACTACTTTCTTTGATGCATCTATCTGGATTCTGACCATGCTCTGGCGTGCATCCAACTCACTTTTCATTCTGGTGGTTAACAGATTTATTGTCTTAAACTACTTGATGTAGTTTAGCTACACTCTCAGTTTTAATTAAATATCAAATGAGTCTGGGTTGGAGGATGGATTGACTCACTGGAAAGTATAGGAGTAGGTTGGAAGAAAGCTAGGGGCGGCCAGACCAAAACATGGCACAAGTCCATGAAGTCACTGACAAGTGAACTGAGTCATGTTGGTAGGTGTAGACTACCTGGTTGGGGACCACGAGATGATAGCAACCGATGGTTAGAGACCCTGAATGACATGGCTCAAAATCGTTTGCAATGGCGCAGGTGCATCCGCTCTCTGTGTTCTCCCAAATTCTAATCTTCTGAATTCTTCATGTCCCTTTTTTCCTCTTTCCAAATTTATTTCACTGTATTATACTCTTTAAATAGCATCTCCAAACCCTAATCTTCCCTATTACTGCTTATACTCTTATTACCTCTACCACTACGGGATTTGAATCGACAACTGCATCTCTGTGCTAATGTGGTATGGCAACTCGAACTGATGTACGTACGTACGAAGTTCTACGTTGTTACTGACTGACTTTATTTAGGAGGTTCATATAGTTCTGCAAAACATCCCATTTATGAACATTATTTTCTAGACTCCATACGATTTTGTTCCGGCAGGTCCTAAATATAGTGATACTTGTAAGTCGCTTTCGCATTATCTCACAATACCATGGAACCTGGTAATCAAGTCGCTCTTGCGAGTCAGAAACAGGAGCTGCATTTGACAACTATCAAAAGTTGTCTGAAGTCGTTTAAGCTACTGCTGGCGAGAAGTCTCACATCAATAAAACGATTCATGAAGATGATCTCATCCCACTTAACAACATTCAAAGACAGACTAAACTTTAATCCAAGCATTTTAAGGGACAACTCGACTGTCCTGTCGCTGTAACGTCATCCGTATCATTCCCCTATGCTCCTTCGACAGTGTCCACTGATCTATCTAATGAAGTGATGATCTATGGGGAAATGCAACCTCTGTGAGTGTCATACTTCGCCAGGTTCAAATGACCTATCTCTATCCTTTTTAAAGGGTGAATGCAGATTTGTAATCAAAGATTTGGTTGGATTATAAATGATTTGTCATACAAAGTGTTCTATCGTACTAAAATTAAACGACTGTCCTAACCATCTTGAGGTTTCTATGTAAAGCAATTGATAATGATCGTGTCATAAATCGGATACCAGTTTCATCCTAAATATTTAATTTAATCATACTTTGTGAAGGGCACAAGATTTGTGACTGATTTGTAGATTTTTGTCCGGCTTGTATGTGAATTGATCAAGTTTTCACTTCTGATCAGGAGAATATATATCAATGCAAAGCGGTTGGACACAATCAGCAGGAAACAACGGACATACTTTGTACTCGTCACTAAGGCATGTTTGGAAGCTTAGATGGAAGTGATGCTTTACATGTAATTCGAACCCGCATCAAGTAAAGTCACAGTTAGGTACAATACTACTAGGCTGTTCGGTTTGCGATCGATCTTCTGTAGGACTGCAACATTTACACCGACTGATCACTGTTTAACTTACCTTCTCTATTCTTTTGCTCTGATCAAATTGGAATTTCAACCACTTAACATCAAGAGATATTGCACATAATGTCAAATCACCTGGACTTGTAATGACATTACAACCTGTTCATTAAAATTCGCTCATTACTAAGGAATAGATGCTCATGGTTTTAACCGCTATATATATTACAAACTTACAACTAGATTTTTGTTGTTATTTAGGTATATCATGACTTCTGAGCACACAAAAGAAACAACTGTACAGTTCTTTAAATCATTTAATTATTTTGGACATAATTGTGACAACATTGTATTTTTTGAACAATACACTCTTCCAGCCTTTTCTCTAGATGGAAGAATCCTGTTGCAAACTAAGTCTAAACTAACATCAGCTCCAGGTAAGATTCCAATCACTTTTCATGTTGACTGAAACGACATAACTAGTTTTCCAAAAATAAAAAAACTAAATTTCTGCGTTTCGTCGTGCAATGGTACTTACATTGGGCAGTGTTGAATCTCAACCATAGTGACCCAAGTTAGACTTTCATCATATGTTTCTGCCTGCTTATACTATTTGTTGAGTAATTATGATGAGCCCTTCACTTTGTTTAATCTGGGTTTACTGTCTAGATAAGTTTGTAAGCATATAAAATAAATATTTGTCACTTTAGGGAATGTAGCCATATAATTTATTCGACCAGTTTCTTCTTTTCACCACTAAACTATTGGCGACCAATTCATTGTTTAGATTCTGTGTTGTATACTTAAAGATTTATCATATCGTTTACACTCCTGTTATATTCAGTATCTTTATACTTGAAAAAAACTGCTCAGTACAATTCTGAAATGAAATTATCAATTAAGTGAGTAAGGTTACTTGAGTAAATAATAATCACTGATAATATAAAAAATGTACGAATTCTTTCTAGCTAGAATGATGATGGTATACAATTAGTTAGTCCATTAAATGTTATCATGATCAACATGTTTAAATGTATTCATGAATGCTAATTATTCAGTGGTTTGAAATCAAACTCTAACAAACCTTAATATATAAGTAGAAATCGATACTATTAATTATTAACATTGTTATTCTACTAGCCAAAACTGTAGACCTCGGTTAATTAAAATATCACCAATGACTCAAATATATATATATATATATATATATATATATATATATATATATATTTGTACATGCATTCGTTACTACTTTTATTCCCGACCGTTGCTGCTGCCTTGGCGTGATGGTCGGGCTTGTCTATCATGACGAATCAGTCAGGCTATACTGGTTAGAACAATCGTTCCTTAGGGTTATACCATGTCGGGCAGGTCGGTTGAAGAACGGTCAGACTAAAAGCAACAAACTCAAGGTCCAAGGACGAGGTCGTACTACTGACTACAGAGGTGTGGCGGCAGGGAAGTGTCTCCCTCAGATAACCATCATGACAGCGATTCTGCCTTCTCACAAGGGAAGGGTGGAGTTATAAAAGGTCAACCCTAAAAACGCACACCTCGCCTTATCCCACGGATATCCGTCTCCGGCGGTAAGGTTTCAACAAGTATGCAGCTAACACACAAATTACCCACAAAATGGTCGTGTGTTACCGGCCTCAAGAAGTTCTCCCTTTGGCACTGCGGTCACTCTCTCAGGTCACTAAGATCAACTTTAACGCAGTTTCCTTTCTAGGTACCGCTAGAAGAACCCTTCCATAGTGTGGACAATCGGGAAGTGATAACCGCCTTCATACCTCCAACAACACTCAAGACCATTTTGTAGCTGACTAACTACTACTTTTCTTAAATTAAGAAAATCAATATTTTTACTCAATACGAAAGCGTTCGGATTATTTTTATTGTGTGCTTCCACCTGTACCATCTGACAAATACAACGGAAGTGTATATATTTATTTACACATTTATACTAGTAATAAATATACCTATCCGGCTTTTTTTAACTAGATGGAAACGGTGGTTTGTACAGGGCTCTTAAAGAGCGCGGTATTCTCGATGATATGAAATTAAGAGGAATCGAATATGTCCAAATTTATTGTGTTGATAATATTCTGGTAAAGGTACCTGATCTTCACTTTATCGGATACTGCATTGAAAATAATGCAGATTGTGCTGCAGAAGTTGTTCAGAAGCTAGACCCAGAAGAACCGCTTGGAGTTGTTGGAGTAGTAGATGGTCAGTATCAGGTAATCTGTTCTGTTATCCAGCTGATAGTATTGTTTCTGTTTCTTATAATAATATCAGGTTCCGTAAACATAATTTTGAAAAATAGATTATTGTCTGTCGGATTGATTGTTCACCATTAGATCGATTCACGTTTCTTCTACCTCATGTATTAAGCTTATTTAAGCATTTCGATGATTTAATGGGATTTTTCGATTTCGGGGCATGATTTGAGTTCTCTGTTTTTACAAAGACTCTAAAACAACCTTAACTTTGTCCCATTAGAATGGCTTTAGCCACTCATTGTCCCAGTTTTCACGAACATATCCGACGAATAAGTAGAGTAATCCATTTATTGAAGCTTTCTTGCTTTGGAAAGTGACTGAATGATTTATTTGTAAGTTTTCTCGTCAATTATTTCTCTACTTTAAATCTGTATTTCTGTTTGATCAACGAAAATTTGCTCTATTAATGAGTTCTTAGTTTCATGAAGTGGAGAAAATTAAACCATTGTAATTCGTCATCATTTGACGTGGTAAACTTTGTCTCATACACGTTGTCCTTTAGAGTCTCAGTCTTTGAGAATTTCAATTCAAATCTTATACATACGTGGTGTTTCTGCATTCTAATCTAATTAAAAAGTGAAAATTCATCAACCGGTCTACTGAATATTGCTGTATTTGTATTTAATTATTCTTCCGTTCATGGCAGTATACCAGTTAAATCGAAAACTTTATCCTAACCTTAACACGTTGAACCTAAGATTTAAAGGTAGTGATTTTCAAAAGAGAAGTGTTATATTATATCACTTTAGTCTTCATCTTTATGATTTTCATGCTTGATTTTCACTACAGGTGTTATGTTTTCACAAAACTTTATTGGTTTTAACTTCATATTAATCTTAGGTCGTAGAATATAGTGAGATATCTCCCGTTACAGCATCCTTACGTGTAAACCAATATGACTCTCATAATAATGCACACAATTCAAACAATGGTGAAACAAGTCGTTTAGTTTATAGTCATGGAAATATTTGTGTACATTTCACAACGAGATCATTTTTGGAACGTGTTTGTCAGGATGATATACAAATGAAAATGCGTTATCATCGAGCTCAAAAGAAAGTTAATTGTATAGATTTGCAAACAGGAGAATTGATTGTCCCTCAAAAACCGAATGCAATCAAATTTGAAAAATTCGCATTCGATGTTTTTCCATTTGCTCAGTAAGTCATTGCTTTTGCTTATATTATTTTCTTTTCTAATTGTACTGCATCTTTTTGTTAGTTAATATTGTCATTTATTTCAGTCTTAAACTGATTGTGAATCGTCTGAAGAAATTATTTGTTCCTTATTTGTAAGGGTTTGTATCTCTTTGTTCCTGATTTTAAGGGCTACGGCTTATGAGTCCTAGACTTACGCTATTTATTTTATTGTCGAGACCATTTTACGTTTGACTTACAGGTTCTACAAGTGCTCATATCGATTGTAAAAGTTGCCTCAGTGATATATCATACAATTTAGTATTTAATCAGTTAGGCCAATAATTACAAATAATTTGTGGTATGAATGAAGTGTCATTCATCGAATAATACCACTGATCACATTGACTGGATGTTACTAGGACATCTGTGCGTGGAGGGGGGTGAGTCGTAGATTCCTCATTTTACGGATATGTGATCAAATGGCACAACCAACTTTGGGCTCTCTCTCTAGACTAGGTCCTATTAACATAGTTTATTTCATGCAATTGGTTCCCTTTATGAATTTAAATAAAGCAAGAACAAATATAATATGAATTCATACTATTCTGCACCAATATTTGTTCTTGCTTTATTTAACATAGTTTAATCTGCTTAGGTTAACTGAGAAAGAATTTAGTCTTTTTTTCGATTGTTCTATCTAGTCGTCGCCAATTTTTATGTCGGAATCGCTTATCGCTTATACTTGTAAAACGAAAAACCACTGCAATTCCCCACGAGGTGAAGTAAGAACACAAAAACTGGTACAACTGAAGATTTATTGAACTCAAAACACGACAACGACCATAGTCGAAAATACACTCGATAATATATATTGATTGTAAACCCATTTTGATTATTAATTAGGATGAAATCACATGTTTAAAAAATATCCAGAGTTATAACAAACTACATGCTAAATGCATAGTTCATGTTAATTTAATACAAGAATATCATATCTTCAACAAACAAATTAATGTTATACGGAATAAAATATCACACTGAGACAAGACAAAACAAATACTACACTAAGTAATCAGCACATTGAATGAAACAGAAGTAATTTTGGACAAAAATCACAATGTATAAAAGAATGTAATTTTACCTTTCCATCCCTTTATATCAATAAAAATCAAGCCTGTTAGAAAACTCAGATAATCTTTTCCTAGCTGTCTCCCGTCTTTTTCCAGAATACTTGTGTTATTCCTGCTTATTTTTATGTTACTATTTCCTTTTTTATATCAGTATATTCCTTTTCATCATATCTGGGCAGAGCGTTGGTTCTAAATCCTATTTTATTGAGGTTTTTCCTGTTATGAGAAACCTTTCATGATGTTTTAATGATTATTAACTCACACGTGGTTGTTAAACAAACTTAATATTTAAGTTGAACATTTTTATTGTATAAACTAAAGCTACTTAGTTCTCATTTTCATCCTATTTTTCTGTTCTCCTCAAGTCGATTTTTTATATGGGAAGTTCCTAGAGATGAACAATTTTCTCCGCTTAAGAATGGACCAGGTGCAATTAAGGATTGTCCTAAAACAGCTCGACTTGATTTACTTAATTATCATACTCGCTTAGCGGAAAACGCTGGTGCAATACTAGTAAATCATAGTTCTACGTCTAATGGGAACGGACACGTAGATAATGTTCATGACAAGCCCTTAATTGAAATTTCACCTTTGATTACTTACAATGGTGAAGTAAGTTTTATTTACTTTTCGTTTAATAAATTTTTTATGTAAACTTACTGTCAACAACCAGGAAATATATTTGATAATCGCAAAATTCGCCTACAATATTAAACATCAATCATTAGAGTCAAAAATTCAGCACTGGATTGGTGGTTAAAGCACTCCAACGTTCAACCACTGAGTCACAGGTTCTAAAACTACTCCATATCAGTATCTTTCAAAAGCTTTCACACAAATATTTACTTGACCATTGAATTACAATATCACTAATTAGGAGTCACTTCAATGTTTTAAAGTTAGATATCAACACCGTTGGATGCTGACCCAATGGTCTATAGGTTAAGTGCTCAGGTGCAAGACCAAAAGTCCTGGGTTGGAGTCTCGTGTGCGGGACCGTGAATGCGCGCTGCCGAGTCGTCCCGTACTTGTACGAAACGGCCATCAAGTGCTTCTACCTTTCCAATAGTGGTCTAACGTTGATCGGTTCATGATCTCACTGAGACAACGAACAATTTGAATTACGGATTAATTAGCATTAACACTAAGTAATTTAGTTAAGAAATAACCATAAATTCAATGTGTTGTGCCGAAGTGTTTTCCTACCACAGGCTATTCTATATTATTAGCTGATTATCTTATTAATTAAATTAATAAATGATACAAGTGGTAGAGTTCTCTATTTTAACCTTTTAAATTTAATTCCTTAATTGTTGTAATCAGCCGACCAATAAAATACTTCTCTAAGCCTATCATCCTGACACCCATACAAATTGTTTTCTAAACTCCCCATTAGCTATGATAATCTAACCAATTTTTTTCCTATATTACATTGTTTTACTTGCATTGATTCCATTTCTATTGACTTTTGGCGGAATATAATTTTCGTCTACTTAAGTTATTGATTATACATTTGACCTACATTTTGTATCTATATGGTATAATTAAAAATAAGGTTGGAATAACTGGTAGATCGATTGTATACTAGACTATTGGCAGTGATCGTATTTCGATATGCGACTAAACTGAATAGGTTTTTCTATTTTCTAATGTTATATCCACACCTGTAATGCGTTGATTGTGATCTCAGTAATTCAATGATGTTTTAACTGGTAGCGCTAAATGATCCTGGTTCATATTTTAGACTGAATAAATTTGGAAACACATCCTCGGGGATAATTATCAACTAACACAGTGTCCGAAAATTCCTATAGATTATCTGGATAATGTAATAACAAGAAGATTATCAGAACTATGTGATATATTAGCGCAATACATTTCGAACAATCTGATCACACATACTTGTTACGAACATTTATATTTGAAAATAAAAGGCCAATTAGACAAATGGGGGTAAGAGGAACCAAAGATAATCAGTAAAATAATATGAGAAACAATTCTTCCTTTCTTAAATATACGTATATGTAGACGAGAAGTTGATTCAACCAAACTATCTATTTTTAAAAAGGCAATTTGGACAGGCCAATACCTTAGTTGTTATAATTACTATCCAGCGCAATACAAACGGGGTTTGATAAGGGGGCCTATTTAACAGGATTAATGGTATTGGCACTAATGATACTAAGTTGTTGAATAAAACACTAATGGAAAATGGTTATCCGCTAAAATTCATAAATCGATGGAAAGATCGTGGTATAGTGAGACCTACTATAGCCTTGGCACAAAAAGCCTGTCTACATCGTCTTACCGTTTAGAGGTGAGTCAAATAGCAGAAATGGAAAATAATTCTCTAATGTCACTCAACTCAGTCTTTAGTTGATTTGCTTCGATCTTTATTGATAACTGGAAAATCTGATGACCAGTATGTATTTGAGCTATGGGTTTAGTGGGAAATATTATACTAACTTAGACAACTTTTCGTCTGGTTTATAGTATCTGTGAGGTAATTTTCACTACATATGCTTATCGAATCTCCTGTACTGTATAAAATTAGTGTGGAGAGCTACAGAAGTTTTTCAACTAAGTGCTGTTTTGGCGCATTATCTTCCCAGTGACACTATTGTCAAAGTATGAACTTGAGGCTAGTCAGTGGAATCTGTAATGAAAGATGAAGTAGTCAACCTGAAATTTGATTGTTTCTTGCAAAATCTTGTTTCCGTTTTATTGGTTGCGTGATTTACCTTCATTTACAAACATCATTTTTCTTTTGGTGATAATATCTGTTTCTTTTTACTCTAGTAGAAATAAACGCTGCTGGCTAGTCTCAAAAATCACGTAAATTTTAGAATACAAATCACTTTTATGACTTCATCTCATTTCGTAGTCCCGAGTAAGCTCATGAATCGTAAGTATCGTAAACCGCAGAGTAATCACATCACTATTTTGCTTATTGAATACTGACTTTCCATCATCAGTATATCACATTCTCATAGGTCTTACGGACTCTTAGTTTTATAAAAGACCTAGTCTTTGAATAATAGCTCTAAAAACTTCATAGGATCCGTTTTACGATTTGATGTACATTTGCTAAACTTTCACAGATAGCCAGGATGTAACTTCCCGATATTGTATACTGCATACACCTACAACTGAAAACTGTAAAATATATTTCAATAAAGTATATTTTTGTGAATTATTGCTGACTGAACATGTTCCTTGTCATATCATTATAGCCAGAGAACAGAACTTAGTTAACCTATTTTCCCTAAACTCTTCTTTTTAGAACTTAACATGTCTAAAAGGTGTTGAAATTCATGGTCTCAATCGTTTGGAACAAGACATAGAAACTGGTAAAACAATTTTATTTTCTTGTGAAATGAATGGTGACATCTAGTCAAGATGTGTATAATTTTTTTTCTTTTAACACTGATATACACAATAACCATACATACAAATGGTCTTCCCTAGTTAATATATTGAACCACATTCATGCTGTGATTTTTCTATGAGTTATTTTGTTTCATATATTTTAGACATTCCATATTACAAACTGTTTTTTGTAACTGTTCGCCTATATGTTAATGTTTGAAACTATCTGTTCTAATGTGATTTTTTAAAAAAAAAACAAAAAAGAAAATTCAATTCATCAAATGTTGTGTACAATCAGTGTGAAATTCATTCTTTTCTAATTCTATATGTTCATTTTACTTTTTTAAATGTGCTCAGTGAATATGATTGGTTTTGTTAGCAATAATCTATGATACTAAATTATATTGTTGCTATCCTCTCTTTTATTTATCAATTTGTTTTGTAACTTTTATTCTTAAAAAAATAAAATAAATACACTTTGTATTGTTTGGCTTGTATCATCCCATTGAGTTTTTTTTAAGACTGCAATTGATCAGTCTGTTATTGGTATATGTGCATGCTGTGCGTATGCCTCGATATTGCCTTAATTCACAAGCTTTTTGTAATCAGTGATGGACTCAGTAGCTGAGTGGATAACGCGATGGCGTTTGAAGCGAATGGTACTGGGTTCGAGTCCTAGAGTGAACATCAACTGTGAGACGCAGGTACATCCAGCTGACGAGTCCCAAATAGGACGAAACGCCCGTCCTGGATTCCTCTGCTAGCCACCATCCATCGTTGCTTATAAAATAAACAGTTAAAAGTTTATTTTTAATCTTCTGGTTGATTTTTTTTTCAAAAAAAAAAGAGAAAGTTCGTTTGTCTTTGTTCATGTTTTGACTTTTGTTCTTGTTGATTATCACATGATAAAATCACCAATCAGTATACTACCGACTTATATGACCTTGTTTGTTTGTTTTTTTAATGCTAAACAATGACACGTTAGCTTGTACTAACAGTTATACGTCAATTCTGAATCCTTATTGGTCCACAAAATAGTAACATCTTGACCTAACCTTACATGTTGAGTCTAGAACACAATGTCATTCTCCACTGTATGAATAATATCTTTCAGACATACGTAGTTTATATACAAGGAAATCAGACTGCATCATACTATATAATTAAAAATAACAATTATACAAGATCAAGCCAAAAGTGGCTGTGGGTGTGAGAGACTGTAATTAATAAATTGGAAATAAATTAGGAATGGTAACTCGTATAATAGCCACTAGGTCAAATGAAAGTTTATGATTATGAATATACATATAACCTAGTTGGGATGTAACAGTTCACTATTAATAACTCTGATTTACCTACTGAAATATATATTTTTTAAAAATAACCAATAATAATTCATTTGCAATACATAACTATACTCCGGTCGCGAAGAGGAAAGTGCTCCACACACTCAGGGAGTTGCGCTAATACTGTCCAAAGAAGCACATAACGCACCTATAGGATGGGAATCTCACGGATCCAGAATCATCAAGGTTGTGAAGAGATAAAGGAAAGTGAGTATAATAAAAACAAAGAAGAGTAGAGAATAATGTGAGCGCATGATAAAAATAATGATAGTAATGGATAAATTCAGTTAGGAAAAATCTAACAAAAAAGAATCCTTTCAGATAAAGAAGTTACTTCCAGTTTTATGAAGAAACCTATATCAAGGTCGCCACAATTTTCTATTCTTAGCCATGCATGATAACGTTTCAGTCGGTGCTGTCCCATGTCCAGAACATCAACTACGGATTCTCATGACTCGCACCACGACCAGCAATTAAGCAGCCACACAGATACAGGGACTTCTCGAATACTTCTGTCTGCTCACTACCAAGAGTGACTGCAAGTTCAGGATAATGCCACTTTTGTAAAAGTACTTTGCATGTTCTAAGTGCATGGCTTGGTATCATTTCACAGTAAAACAATATCATCCGCATAACCAAGGTCGAAAAGTCTTTCTCCAGGCAACAGATTTATACTATCAATACCTACATCCACCAGAGCTGTTTCCAGAACGTGATCGATCGCCAAGTTGAGAAGGAATGGTGAGATCCGGCAACCCTCCCCTAACCACACTGCTTGAAAGAAACAATGAAGAGAAGTGGTTCTGCGTACCTACTCTACCTAAAGTGTTCGTATATGGGGCTTTCGAGATGTCAACAAACTTCTCAGGTACATCATTCTTCAATAAACAATACCAGTGGACAGCCCTGTCCAACGAATCGAGGTCGGCCGTGATGTCAAGCATCAGTACGATTGCTGGCCTGTATTAAGTATGAAGGTGTTGTAACATTTGGCGGAGGGTGGAGATATGATCAATACATCCTCGATCTAGACGAAAACCAGTGTGCTTCTCGCGAGTCAATCTTTCTCGAGCTTTGAATAATCTACGAAGTATAATGGAAGCCAATAATTTGGACGCGGTCGCAAGTAGACTTATCTCCCAATAATTGTTGGATGAGGGACGTGAACCTATTTTGAAGATTGGGACAACTAATGACTCATTCCGCGATGTTGGAACACTAATTGCCAGACGTCCGGAAATCACTTAGTCCTTTAACTAGCAGGTCGCCACCATCTTTAGAAGTGACTGGAGATGATTTATCTGAACCTGGTGATTCGTGGCACTTCCAGAGTCGGGGTTCCTTTCGGACGTCGATCTCTAGCTGAGTGGATCAGTCGTCGTCGGGCATGTCGATGTCACCAGCACATCAGGTCAGCTGGACTGTCCGTTGGAAAACACTCCAAAGTCCAAGACGTCGATATATGTACCTGATTGGCATTCCATCAGCTCCACAGATTGTTTCTGTCATGCCATACTTCTTGTTGCTGCCAGTGACTCAGATGAGTTGGAAGAGCTTCTGGCAGTTACCAGAAACAGCTGTTGCTTTCAACTTGTTAGCACCGTGCGACAACCAGGCTTCTCGATCCCTACGCAAACTTTGCACAATGTGATTATGTAATAATCTCCGTTTGTCGTCGAACTGGTGGTTGACCGGAACAGGCCGAAATAGTTTAATATGTTTTAAGGCGTCTGTAGAAACATGTAGTGGCTGATGCTTCACCAGAACGTAAAACATATTTCCATCAAAGTCCTGTCGTTTAACTGTGATGTCATGCAATTAATAGAGATGCAAAATATATTCTGGAAGGAAAGGAATTTTTGTCTAGTTTGTTTTATTCAACAACACTGCCAGATTCTACATGATATCTTTCCTCAGACGATATTGTACAGATCAAATACGTAAATTTTGTGGATTTTTGTCTGTTCAGGTCTATACTTCTCCATCCGTCATACAGGTTCATTTACCTTTTCTCATAATATTATAAGATGTACAACATACTTAATTGTTTTCACATTCCTATTTGATTTTCGCTATAAGAGTTAAGAATTTAAAACACTTTGAAATTAACGTAAATCATAAAAGGTGAACAAGTGTATGATCTTCGTTTGTTGATATTCACTCTGCATAGTCGTGATACATACTAATAACATTTGTGACTCTGTGGTTACATGAAAACATTTTCTCTGAAATATTTGTTCGTATCTGCCTACATTGTCACCGTTTCGATGTATACACAATGAGCTTGATCAGCTTACTTAAATGAAGATTAGTATTTTGTGTGATAAACGTCAACTGTTTGAATCATTTAATTCCATTTGATTGTCAGCATGTATGTGGAAATTCGAGTTCGAACCACGGCTGTTCAAAATTACAGTATTATTGATCTCTCCCATAGTCTACTTATTTCTAATGTGTTCCAATCAACATCTTTCAAAATGTTTTTGGGAAAACGTTCGAAACGGAATTTTCGTCAACTTAGTTGGCAAATTTTTTAAAGATTGTTTTACTACTCAAATATTGATGACATGAGTGGAGAGAATTTTGAGGAAGGGAATTATTTTTCGAAAAAGGCACGTGAATTATTTACAACAATTTTGCAACGACGTCAGTGTTTGACCGGTTTTTATTTTGTGTCTTTTTAAATGATACTACTGATTAGTATATCAAATCAGAAGTGAAAAATCTTAGGCACTAAACATTTTAATTGGGAATTGTGCTAATCTATAAATGATGATGTTTATCTTAGCAGACGAGTGTTCTGATTTTTCTAGCGGTGAATGGTCATGTCGAAATATAAAGAATACATTGTACCTTGTAAAATCCCGCTAAACAAGTTTAACTAAAAATTACGATATGGAGTGTCATTAAAAAGTTACATTATCAATTACCTTAAAATTATCATATTCATTGAAGTAGAATTCGAAATAACGCGTAGATAAATCGATTTTACTCGACAGATTTTGTCAAATACATTCATTGACGTATTTCTAATTGAAGTTATTTCACATATTTAACAGACAGCCATGCTATGTGATGGTACACAACTTAAGGCAATTTCAAATTACTACAATAAATGATAATCAAACAGTAACGGATTAATGTTCTAATTGAACGATCGATTCGGTTTCCTAAGCTCTTCCAGAAACCCCCAGACTAACTCTACACGGTAACTTGAACACGAGAGAAAAGGCGTAAAATGTAGAAATAACTCTTTAATTCACGGCTAGTTTGTGAACATAAAATCGAGGATATTTATGGCATTCAAGATGGCTTTGGGCTTCTGGAAAGTTCTGGAAGTCTTCTAAACATAGTAGCAGGATAGGTAATCATCCAATCGGAAATATAACAGGTGATTCTTGACTTTCTAGATGTTTCCGGGAAACTTCTATTCGATGCTGATTGGATAAAATGTTTCCCATCTGCGCTTTTTTTCGAGGAATTTTACGGGTCTCCCTAGCAGTAATCAATGAGGTATTTGTCGTAAATATTATTGTTACCTTCGAATAAAACGAAGTGAAAAAATTGATTTTCACATGGTCATATTGATAAAAGTCAATTGGAGATAAATTTTATGATACTTTTGATACATTATATAGGACTATTTTGATGACACACATCCGGTTACTCCTACATAACTGATACATTTAACGCCTAGACTTAAATATGACAACATAAAAAGAAGCTATTATTGACTGGCCGACTGAAATCTAAACATACTCTCACAAGCGTTTCTGATTCTTTGAAATTTGACTTCTGTTTAAAACAAAAATTCTACCTGTTGACAAGTAACCGTAATTAGTAGGACAGTGAATAATGTGCAAGTAATAGCCAAACATCATAAACAACTAGGAAGATTACGTGAATTCAGTAAGGTGAAATATTTTGAAACTGTCAGACCTCATGGCTTACATTAATATTTCCATATTGCAATTCGCTTTTTAAACCTGAACAAGTTTAGTGAAGCTAAGCACTTGAATATTCACATCTACATGTAAACTGAACTTGGTGTTTAATTATCAACTTATTTCAGACAGTAATCATTGCTTCCATAAATTTTTGTTAAAAAATCTCTTGTTTACTGGGACCGGTTTCCTGATGAGAGAATCTATGGTATTGACAACTATTTTTCGAGTTGTTCAATATAATATATGGTACATAGGTATGATGTGCACTTACTTAAGCTTGTTGTCTCTCATAAAGAATACGTCATCGACCAGGAGTCGCCCGTCGACTCCGCCCTGAGAGATCATTTCATTCGGCTGTTTTTCACTATTGTCTTCCTGCTTTTTAGGCTCTAAACATGAAGCGTCGTAAACCCTATATGTAACGAACTTTCAATTATCATGACGGGATTTAAGTGGTTCAAATATTTTTTCCTGGTTAAACGTTTTACGATAAGGTTGCTTTTTACGAGGGGAAGCTGTTAACTCCACGCCAAATTCTACTCATCTACAACGATTTAAAAACTATAGTAACCCTAAAAGAGCTTAAGAAGTTGACGACAAATACAGGCCATAAGCTGCCTTCAATTAGTAATCCCTTGAGGCTAGCCTCGGTGATACTGATTTTTTCTCTAATAGTTGTTGATACACAATTTTAACTCCCATTGTGAAAATTAGAACAACACATATAAGCGTGTGTTGTTACAATTTTAACTGTCCTAATAAGTCGTACACTCGTAAATAAAGGTGGAAAATCAAGATTTAGCATGTACTTTTCCTTTAAACTCATTACACATTAGGAATAAAATCGTAAGTATCTTGGATGTTTTTATCAACGACGTGGTTGCGTAGAGGTTTCAGTATTTGAACTAGTCAGTTTGCAGTATATTTGTATGGGGAATTATTATTTTCTAAAACTGGGTGACGAATATATCGTAAATGGGGAACTTTGACCAGAACACGAAGTCGTGGTGCGTTTGATCCACTGGGTTTAGGCGAATCATGAGTGATCGAAGAAGTTACCTCTTTGCGTTTCAGTTGTTTGAAAAAGTTAAATAATGGCTTGTCTGCCTTCCCATTTATGTCCTTATTGTAATCAGGTATTAAAATTTTGCTGGATCGTTCTACAATGAGTTCACTTATCAGTTCTATGTATCTTAGTCTTTAAAATTAATCCTCCAATTTAGTTCGATTTACATATGATCACCTTGTTGCTTTTTCTAAACATATATTAGGCACTTCGTTCCTATTTGGTCAATAGACACTTCGTGGAAGAGATACCGAAAAAAAGTTATCCTAGGTCTCCGAGAAAAACATTATATTCTGTTGAAATTCGTATTGTCCTCTCTAGTTGGCCTTCAGTTCATAGTCGTGTGAGGGACAAACTCTCCCTTTCGGCCAAACCAATTTACATATATTAGTTTGGGTGCTATTTTGGTGCAAATTATATAGGTCGAACAAATGAGCTCTCTAGAAACCCATCTCCAAACATTCCTCCATCTGATCACTGAAAGGACTATACAAGTCAGTCAGTATTTCGATCCCGGAACATCTCGTTAATTCTGGTTACTCCACCTCACTAGTATTTCCCCTTGAAATTATTCAGAAGGATTGGTTTAAAGGGAGTACTATTCGAAACTTGTTTACATTAGAGGTTTAAACTATCTTCTAATTCAAGCATAATATTAATATAAAATCAGTATATCTTATCCCTAATTCTACCTTGGTCATATCCGTTCTAGCTATCGACTTTAAACTACCATCAGTTCTATCTCTTTTTATTCGTTGCTTCATATTTATTAATCAGCCAGTTAGTAATTCTATTCTTCACATTTATCAATTGGGCTGTTATCAATCATCCATAAACCATCTGCGCCTTAACAAATCTGATTATTACATAACTTCCTTTCAATATCTGATCTATACTACTAACTTGTGGCAAGATACTGCTTTACTTTTTCAAGATCACTTGACTACGGACCGTAAAATTCAGTATTAGAAACTTTTGATTATAGGTAATAATTTTCTATGATTACACGACACTCGTCTATTTTATCATAGACTCTTCTTTCAGATAAACGAATTAGCTATAAGCATGATTTTACAGGATAAGTAAATGAAATTGTCGAAAGGAAAACTTTATTTACTGAAAGGTTTTTAACATTCTTCAAGATCAAGATGGATTTCTTTCTTCGCTTCTGTGCTGTTGGCAGTGATCAAATAACGTAGCTCTAAATCTATCTAGCTCTTCGGGTCAGATTGTAACCACATCTGTTGTTTCTAAAGATAAATTCCTGAACTGCATGTCATTGGATAGTCTTAAATCCACAGTTACAACATTTACGACTCAAGGATAATGCTTCTAATTGCACAACATATACCTTGACACTGAACAATTATAAGTATCTCATTTTGGATCGGCAGAAAAGTTTCTTTTCGGTTTTTTAATGTTTACAGTATTTTACTAGTTTATCCCTGTTTTTTCACATCTACTTTTCATCACTATCTTCACATAGTTCATACGAAGCTATTTACTTCTTGTGGTAGGCTTACAATGGTAAATTACCATTTTGGATGACTTTATTTCTAAGTTGTTGATATGCAATTTCAAGGAATCTAAAATTTAAGTGTTTTAAAATTTCTTATTAGAAAAATAACCTCTAATTCTTATTATTTATAATATTGTTGATTGTAAAACGTACGTTTAATGTTCAGATGAAGTCAAAAATGTTATTCGAAATTAAAGTATGAATTTTATTCATTATAGTCAAGTACAACATTGTAAACATATTCATTATTTTATAATAATTACTACTGTAAAACTTTTTAATAATGAAAAGGGGAACTGAAATGAAACGATTACATAATATGGTACTATTGACTTCAAATGATAAAATAAAGCATAATTACTCATCAAGTCAAAAGAACTGTTACAGTAAAATCTATGGATAAAAAATTTACAGTATATTATCTATCGACAAAACATAATGATATTAATTATCCTATCTAAAATAGTTAGTATAATATAGCACCATAATAAGAACTAAGAATGTATTGATTACTAATGTTCTTACATTTTATACATTCTTCCCAATATGTAATAAACGTTTGAATGCATTTGCATATTCTTTAGTACAGAATGCGTATATAAATGGATTACACATACTATTCAAGTAACCTGGCCAAGCTGTTGCCATTGTAATTCGTTCTGATAGTACACACTGACATACACCTTCTACTAAATGAAAAATAGCAAATGGAAGCCAACATAAAATGAAACAACAAACTACGGTTGCTACTGTTTTGACAGTTTTTTGTTCTCTCTTAAATATAAAACATTCGCGTCGATAGGAATGTATTTCAGTATGTGCCTTAGGATGTTTCAACCTTGCAGTCACACTTTTTGTATTCTGACTGTTTTGTGTCTGTACATGTTTTTGTTGCACACCTTTCCGTTGATCATTTACAGAAGCGTCAGTAGTTTTGTGAACACTTGGAAGTGAATCCTTGATGATTATATTGTCTTCCGTATGAGTAGTTGGTGAAGTACATGCTTCTGTGTCCTCTGTACTATCATGAACTACAAACGTAGGAAAATCATTCAAATCAGATTTCGTCGATCTATGCAACATTGTTATTCTAAACATCGGAATAGATTGTGTGCGTTGTTTAGGCGTTTCCGAAACATTCCACTCTGGTTGTACAGGACGCTCATTGGAAAAAGAACCTAAGGCACTTGGACCGTAAGATTGAGTGATAGAAAATTTTTTCAGATTGTTACGCCTCTTACATGGAATGCATGCAATACACAAGTTAGATTGTCTGCACTTCAACTCAAATAATCGACGTTGATTGTAGTTAATTGAACTGAGATATCTCCTGATACGTACAAAGCGATGGTGATAGATATTACTCGGATTGAAAAGCAACTTAAATGATCCAAATCTATATTCTTTCGGATTAGATGAAAACTGACCAAATTCGAATTCCTTTGAACGACGTCGAATCACCCAAAATATACGAATGTAAATGAAACCGACTAACAAAAATGGGACGAAGAATATCGAGATTCCTGTGAGAAATCTGTATCCTGCATCACTTCTTATGTAACAACTTCCTACTCCCGTGTGATGCTGGAAGCCAAATATAGGTGGGATCATTATTAGGAACGATGCCATCCAAGCACCTCCAATCATTGCAAATGCCGTACGACGTGTTCGCTTGCTGATATATTTCGTCGGATAATTGATTGCAATATATCGATCCACAGATATACAACATAAGTTCAATATCGAAGCTGAACACAAGAACACGTTGAGAGAGAGCCAGTATATACATAATTCATGTGATTCATAAGGCCAATGACCGTAAACTTGACGCATAATGGAAAGAGGTAGAACTAGAACTGCGACAAGTAGGTCAGCCAAAGCGAGTGATACAATGTAGAGGTCAGTTATACGTCTCAATCCTTTAGTTGTTGCAACAGCTGAAATAACTAGTAAATTACCACAAAATATTAGAATGCTAGATAGGATTTGGAGAGAGATAATAATTATGTTCAATGCAAATCTCCATTCACTAAACATTTCACTTTCCACTTTTGTTAGATTAACATCACTGGTAAAATTAAAATTTCTGCTGGATAATGCACAAGAAACATTTTCGTGGCACGCCTTCATTCTATATTCATTTTCATGGAAATTGTTGTCAATTAAAAACAGTTGGTTCATGTTGATGACATTTTCTAAGAATCTTCAGTTTACTTTTGTCAGATATTATAAAATTTGATTATTTGACCATTTATCTTGAAGTGACATGTTTATGTGCTCATTAATAGGACACCATGATTTATTTTTCAATCCTAAATTAAATTCACTTTACGTTCATAAGATGTCCAACCAGACTGTTATGCCAATCAGAGTCCTACGTAGTAACGAATTCTAACCAATCCTTTATTCAGAATTTGTCGTAAACAAACAATCCATTAGTTTTATTTACTTGGTCATAGAAAACAAATGACAACGTGAGAAATCACATCCTAAACAACCTATCATCTATAGGACAAAGCTGCGTTGCCAATTCTAAGTGTTATAATGTTAGATGATATTATTGACTGGAAAGTATCCCTAAGGCAGACGTATTTAGAAACACTTTAAATGCATGAAATTTCCCACAAAGTAATCTAGATCCAATGATATCTTGTGATTGGATGTAACTATTTGAATTAAATATTTAAACAACTTGACAGTTATTTTGAAATATGTGAAATTCCCACTACGCGAATAAAACTAGCAGACTTCTCATCATTGGTTGGTAGTGGAACAGTATATTCGTTGAGTAAATCTTGAGTTATAAAAATCACTCTGAGAAACGTCCATCTTAATTCCAATAACGTTTTATTTGAATCACGATTGTCTTGGAAGTGGTCAGACGAAGTCGCGTTCATTCGAAATGAGACTGGCTGATATGAGAGATTTTACACTATTGTGGTTTGAAACGTTGAGATATCCACTGAGTTGTAATATTTTTCTGCCCATTTTCCCATGAATATAATATCATTTATAAAATTAGAATTTGTGCTGGATAAAACACAAGATATATTTTCATGACAGGCTTCTATTCAATATTCTTTATCACAGATACTGTCGTCATCGAACAATAGTTGGTTTGTGCCGATTTGTTTTTTAAGAAAATTTAATTATTGACTCAAGTCTTTGTTCAATTTCCTACACATACATTTGACAACTGATCTTACAGTAAAGTTCAACCTATTCATTCATAAATTAATTTCCACAATACTTTATTGGTTGTAAATTAATTTCGGTCAACCACAGTTCGACGACAAACGGACATTATTACATAATCACATTGTGCAAAGTTTGCGTAGGGATCGAGAAGCCTGGTTGTCGCACGGTGCTAACAAGTTGAAAGCAACAGCTGTTTCTGGTAACTGCCAGAAGCTCTTCCAACTCATCTGAGTCACTGGCAGCAACAAGAAGTATGGCATGACAGAAACAATCCGTGGAGCTGATGGAATGCCAATCAGGTACATATATCGACGTCTTGGACTTTGGAGTGTTTTCCAACGGACAGTCCAGCTGACCTGATGTGCTGGTGACATCGACATGCCCGACGACGACTGATCCACTCAGCTAGAGATCGACGTCCGAAAGGAACCCCGACTCTGGAAGTGCCACGAATCACCAGGTTCAGATAAATCATCTCCAGTCACTTCTAAAGATGGTGGCGACCTGCTAGTTAAAGGACTAAGTGATTTCCGGACGTCTGGCAATTAGTGAGTCATTAGTTGTCCCAATCTTCAAAATAGGTTCACGTCCCTCATCCAACAATTATTGGGAGATAAGTCTACTTGCGACCGCGTCCAAATTATTGGCTTCCATCATACTTTGTAGATTGTTCAAAGCTCGAGAAAGATTGACTCGCGAGAAGCAGACTGGTTTTCGTTTAGATCGATGATGTATTGATCATATCTCCACCCTCCGCCAAATGTTACAACACCTTCATACTTAATACAGGCCAACAATCGTAGTGATGCTTGACATCACGGCCGACTTCGATTCGTTGGACAGGACTGTCCACTGGTATTGTCTATTGAAGAATGATGTACCTGAGAAGTTTGTTGACATCTCGAAAGCCCCATATACGAACACTTTAGGTAGAGTAGGTACGCAGAACCACTTCTCTTCATTGTTTCTTTCAAGCAGTGTGGTTAGGGGAGGGTTGTCGGATCTCACCATTCCTTCTCAACTTGGCGATCGATCACGTTCTGGAAACAGCTCTGGTGGATGTAGGTATTGATAGTGTAAATCTGTTGCCTGGAGAAAGACTTTTCGACCTTGGGTATACGGATGATATTGTTTTACTGTGAAATGATACCAAGCCATGTGATCTGTACTTAATCAATCGGAAATTAATGTCCGTAGGTATAATATGTACTTTGCACGTTCTAAGTTAGGATTATAATCTCATTTGTGACTGTGTTCTTCATTTTTTCTAGAAATTACTCCTTTTTATTACCTTCAATAGGATTTCATAACTTATATTCAGACTTGAATGTCTTGATAATTTTTTAATACTGACGTGATGAAATAAGAAGATGACATTATTTAGGTCAATATAATTTGTATAAATTCATAATGAATTTCGTCCAGGATGAAAGATGCGAAATTCGTTCAGTGTGAAAATTTGAGGCCAATATTTTCTTGCATTAAAACTTTGTTCTATATAACTGTCGTTCTGTGTGACAATTTTCTTTTCTTTATCAATTCAGGTGAACTACATTCATTGTTATTTTGCGATGTTCGTAGATATTCCTCGTACATATGTTACTATTATTTGTATGTGAAATTCAGTGTGTAAATGATTGCATTACGGTCTGATGATGTTGTTTCGAATGGGATTTCGGGACATGTTCGTAAACGTGTTTTTGGGGAGTTAATGACCCTTCATTCCACCACACTTTCGTGTTTCTACTCTGCGTCGTGGGAATTCTAGTAGTTACCGATTACTAATCAAAACCAGTGAGACGTACAAGAGTTTGATAATTTTATTTAGTGATGCAATAAACCTACATTTTCTCATAAAGCACCATACATAATACACCACAAATACCAATGTAAATCTAGAGAAAATGACATTGTCCACAAGAAAATATTTCTCATTGAAACTTCCTTGTTTAGTTCACTTATACTTGTGTTCTTCTTATCCGACTTATTCCAGAGGTATTCCGATCATCTACCACACAATTTCAACTGATCTACCAACGAATTGAAGTGTACTTTAAATACCAATCGCAAAGAAACCCACTAACATTAGCAAATGGTTTGTCCTAATAAATTCACCAATAGTTTACAATTTCTTTTTTTATTCGCTATTTTACAAGTATTTGTTCTATTCCAGATGAAAAGTGATAAATCTTCTCACTATAGTTTCAGGTTAAATAATTCCTTCAATGTATCTTAATACCTGATTGTTACATTATCCGTTGTTTCCGTCGTATCTTGTAGGCAAAGTTTCAGTGGATATAACACTGTCTTCTTCGATCTATCTGTATGTAATTTGTGATAGTGTAATAAATAAAGAAGAAATCCACCTAACAAAAGTAAATAATAATCTTTTGCAACTGTTTGATTGTTATCGTTGAATATCTCCACTAACCTTGAGTGTAAAAACAATAACACATTTAAAATAAAGATGATACATATCTAAATTTAAAAACACATTAAGAATTCACTACATATGTATGGTCTTGAATTTCTTATTTAAAAGCTCTTTTCTAGTAATGCATTGGCTTAACTCTTCATGACTCCCTTTCAAATTAAAATAAGCAATATTACTAGTTGTTTGAATCGTAGAAAATAGGTCTAAGTATTCACAGACCTATTATGTGAATAAAGCCTGTGTGGTTTACTTAACATTGGGATAATAAATCTTTTAGTAAGTATCTGAAAGAGCTCGCGCACAAAATACAATCATACGTTAATATATATATCAAATAGGACGAATGCAATATCTTGGGTTCCCCTGCTATCCACGACTAAGCTGTTCTTCATAAAAGTTGTAAACGAATTGCTGAGAGTTGATCATTCTTACCATTTAAATTTTCCTTGTTAATAATACTTTCGTTAAAAGGCAACCATAATATATGTCTTCCAATTATACTCAATATTCAACAAAATACTTTTCCAGTTGTGTGACATAATTCATATAAGTATAAATGTAATACTGCTTCTTATTTTGCAATGATTAACAGTTTTGTCAAGTGAATCTTTTTTCCAGGGTGTTTCACAATGATGGAGTTTTTAGAATCTCAGGAAATCATGTTTTTACTAGTTATATATTGTGCAAGATAGCTTAGTATCATGGGGTATAATGATATTGAAAGTAATAATATTTTATTTTCAAAGAAAAAGGCAAATTGTTATCTTTATTCATCTTATTAGAATATTCTTCTTTTAATGGACACATTATCAATACGTTTCTATCTTTTATACTAATTGAAGTAACAGATAAAATAGAATGATACTACACAGCATAATTTAGGTGATTAAGTTGTTATATTTTAAAGTAGTATTTATATTACATACTATGGTATCAGTTGCTTATATCTACTTTGCCATAAGAAATTGTCATTACATAAATATAAGTGGATCTTTCGTGACGCTTTCTCAACAAGTGGGATCTTTTCAGATTACTGGCCATGCAATGTTTCCTGGATAAAACTATGTTTATAGTTCAGATGCAAAGAAGTAATAGACTTTATTCTACAGACAACTACCATTTCAAATATATTTGATACAAAAGTCAAATATTCAGTTAGTTATCACCGCACTGAATGCTTTACAATCTTGAATTATTGAAAATAGAGTTAAGATTATTGATTTAATTTCGGAATTTTCATACATGTTAAGTGGATAACGTACTTCATCTGACACACACAATTGACTTAATTTTTATGAAGATACATTGGCATTCACTGGGAGTTGAGCACGAAAATTGATCAAATTGGAAGATGAGTGGGTCTGGTTTCACATGCATCTATCAGTATCTAGTTCTGTTGAACGACACTATAAGTAGTGAAATTGGATCCACTAATACTATATTTGACCTTGAGTTTTACTGGTGATGAACGAAACTTGATGTTGAGAAGAGAGATTCATGGAAAGTGAGAATTCCAACTCCAACACCGATTTCTTTGAGTTAAATCAAA